TTAATGTATTGTATCACATTGATTGATTTGCGGATGTTGAACCAGCCTTGCAGCCCAGGGATAAATCCCACTTGGTCGTGGTGAATAATCCTTTGAATGTACTATTGGATCCTATTGGCTAGTATTTTGGTGAGAATTTTTGCATCCATGTTCATCAGGGATATGAACCATAGACTTTTAAAGCTGAAAGTGTCTCTGGAGAGCTTCTGGTCTACCAGCCTGTTTGTTTTTTTTTTTTTAAGATTTTATTTATTTGACAGAGAGAGATACAGCGAGAGAGGGAACACAAGCAGCGGGAGTGGGAGAGGGAGAAGCAGGCTTCCCGCGGAGCAGGAAGCCCTATGCGGGGCTCGATCCCAGGACCCTGGGACCATGACCTGAGCCGAAGGCAGACGCTTAACGACTGAGCCACCCAGGCGCCCCTACCAGCCTGTTTAACTGATTTAAGACCTGAGACCCACAGAGCTCAAGTGACTGGCTCAGGGCCACAGAAGCAGCTCAAGCGGAGAGCCACACATTTTCTGGGTTCCATCTGGGGCATTTTAACTAGCGCCAAGGATCTTTGAATGACTAAAGATCCACAGTGGTAGTACTTGGACACTCAGACTTATTTTCAGTATTAAAAATAAAGTCTAAATATTTATCCCTTACAAGCATGGATGACAATGTCAAACTTCTTTGCTTTTGACTAAAAAAGAGGTAACTTGGGTATATTAATCCTAAAATTCTCACTAATGCTTATAAATGTATTTATGAACAAACATGAAGGAAGCAATGAATTACAGTTTTACAAAGGTACATGGGAAAAATAATGTTTTTCAAGAAATAAGGGGATGCCTTTTGGTGAGAAAAGTAAGAACAGTAGTGTGGCAGTAATGGCGAGTGAGCATCTCTCACCATCCAGAGCGGGGCTCTGTTGGGTTCTTTGATTCTCACAGTAATCCTGAGACATGAGCAGAGATAAGAGTATCATTTCTGCTGTGATAACAAGGAAACTGATGCTGGAAGGGAAGTGAATGGCCCAAAGTTCCAAGGCAAGTCCAAGAAAATATATGAGATTGCACGTTGGGTACTTTCTGTAAAAACCTTACACACTTGGAATTTTCCAGAACAACTAAGGAGATGAATTAATGGTCATCATAAAAGTTTTGTTCTAAGAGGAACTGTGTGTTTTTGCTTCCAGAATTGTGTGCCTATTTCTTGTGGATGGAGACTACTGCTCTGTAGCCTGATATTTTCAGTTCATTTTAATGCCATGATATTATATGTCACTTGGATTAGTAAACTTTCAAAGATAATTCTGACTCATGTAAACCAAGCCTCATTTGAGGGAGCAAGGAATACCCAATGAATGCTAATATTCAGAATTGATTTTTCTAGAAGACGGAATATATCAAGAAATGGGTGTTTGTTCTTCCCCAAATTACATTGCATTTTGAACTTGGAATTTCACTAATGACTATAACTAAGGGAATCAAAATTATTTCTACATGACAGCAAAGCGATCAGTTTGTTTAGTCAGTTAAGGAAGAAAGAAAAGTCAATTTCAGGGACAATGGAAATTAAAATAAGTAAAACATTTAAAAAACATACCAATCTCCAGGTTCCAGCATAGGGCTTGGCATAGTGGTTGTCTTCAAAAAATACCTATTAAGTAAAAAGATCCTACAAAATGACCTAGTGAATTTTTCACTTTTCAACCCATCACAAAGAGCCAGTATCTAATTTTCCTTTTTTTTTAATTGAAGATTTTATTTATTTGAGAGAGAGAGAGAGAGCATGAGAGGGGAAAGGGTAGAGGGAGAAGCAGACTCCCCGCCGAGTTAGGAGCCCGATGCAGGACTCAATTCCGGGACTCTGGGATCATGACCTGAGCTGAAGGCAATTGCTCAACCAACTGAGCCACCCAGGCACCCCAGTATCTAATTTTTCAATGATTCCACCACACATGCTCTCCTTCTGCTGGGATAAATCTTGGATAAGATGACCTGCTATTCAGGTTTAGGTAGGCGTTCCACTTTCCCTGAGAGGAAATATGATAATAAATCATCACAAAGCCACATTTGCTAAGCCAGAATAGAGTTTATTAAGGAATAGTCAAAATGGTTATTTCTCAAAGAACAATGAAATGGCCTAAAAGACAGAAAGAAGGTCTCCAACTCCACTCAAAGGAGGAGAGAAGAAGTTGGGTGAATTCATGAAAACATGGCCCAGGGACTTGGGATTGATTTAGTCTGATGTAGGTAATAGCAGGTGTTGAAGTCCTGATGATGAGCCCACATTTCTGAACCTGTGCAGAGACGGGTTGCTTAGCAGGGTTCACAGGGACTCTGACAGCCAGGCTGAACGTAGGTGGTCAGGTTGATCCCACTCATTCCAGGAGTTGGGTAGTAAGAATTGAGCAGCCAGCATGTTGGCACATAGGTGTCAGGCTCACAGCAGGGTGGGGGGCGGGTGTCGCAGCAGGTGGGCTGGAGGAGGCTGATGTCATGGGGGCAGGTGCTGGGCAGGCAGACTCCACACCGGCAGCATTTGTCAGAGGAGCAGATGGTGGTGGCGGGGCCGGTGGGAACACTGCAGCAGCAGGGAACACAGCAAGCCATGGTGTCAGGAGTTAGATTTTTTTGGGTTGAGAAGAGAAGTCTATTGGTGTCTCAATGCTTCTCTCTTCTGCCTTGGCTCTTATATACTCACCTCCCTGGGCGTCAGCCTATTACCAAGATTTTTTTCCCCTGTGTTTCAGTTTATAGCTATCTCCATTAAAACCATCCAATTACTTAAGTGTTTATTACCTGAGACACACTCTTTATCTCATAAAAGGGGTTTAGGTTGTTTTGTTGTCAAATTAGGACTCTTCATGTTGGCTCTTTGTCACTTTAAGGACATTTCATTTCAGTCTTCAAAGGCAACGAATCATTATCCTCTAATCATTATACATCATTAGTGATGGCCTGGTATGCTAGGTATCTGCAAATCATCCCCACATTTCTTTGTCTACTTTCAGATGATGAGATAAGTAGGCTTTTTGATTGCCAGTCTGTCAGCAACCAAAGATTCTATATGATAGTTTAGGTCTCCTGGCTGAAAAAGTGCTAAAAGTCTTAGATTTATTTTTCATGGCTCCAAGAAGCTGAATTAAGATGAACAGATGGGATCTATAGAGAAGGAGATTCTGATTCTGTGTAAAGACTTTCTTAGAGAGCTGTAAAAATAATTCGCCTTCTGTTCCCTCCACGCATGTGGTGAACAATAACATGTCAGGGACAGGCAGATGGGAGTCAGGAACTGTAGAACTCCATCCAACAATGTCATGGATTAAGATTATTTGTGACCCAAAGAACAGGCATATGGGGCCATTTAGAGACAAAACAGTGCAGTGTATTCTAAAATGAGTTCCATGAACATCTGTTCGAAGGAACATTAAAGGGTTCTCTGGTAAATACATTTGGGAAATAGAGTTCTTCATTGGTGGACCTTCCAGAGCCTTTAAAATGCTAAAGCACTCTGTGACTTGCCAATAAAGAGCTAGAACATGTATTTTTCTCCAAACTTACTTGGCCATGGAATCATTTTGTTAGTTTCCATATGTTAGCTTCATAAATTAGTGTTCTATGGAGCACACTTGGGGAGATTTCCAAGTTACATCTAAACCACTAAAGCCCTAATGATAGAATTATTTAAATAAATAAAGGCATAACACTTGCTGTGATGTTTTAGATGCTTTGGAGTAGGAAAAAAATATATATATATATAAAGATTTTATTTTTTTATATGACAGAGAGAGACACAGCGAGAGAGGGAACAAGCAGGGGAGTGGGAGAGGGAGAAGCAGGCTTCCCACAGAGCGGGGAGCCCGATGCTGGGCTCGATCCCAGGACCCTGATATCATGACCTGAGCCGAAGGCAGACGCTTAACAACTGAGCCACCCAGGTGCCCCTGGAGTAGGAAAAATATTAAACTAGTAAACCTTCAGAAATATTTTACTTTGAAAGTCTTAATGTTTTCTTGACTCATCTTCATATAAAATGGCTCAGGCTTTAAAAAATTAGAAAATTGTACATCATAAGGGTGTCAGAAGCCAAAATCAACAAGATGATGGATCCAAAAGATGCTTAACATTAAAACTGCTTTCATTTTAGCCATCTTACCACTATTAGAATGATTTTGTGGTTTTGGATTCCTCTGCTAGAATTTTGCTTGTTGTCCACGTTACTTCCATAGATATCTCTTAGTTCAGTCAAACCCTCACTGGCTGAACACCTGCTGCAAGTCAGACATTGCATAAAAAAAGGAGCAAATAGGAGCCTGCCCTTGAGGATGTTGTAGAGAAGAGACACAGAGAAGTAAACTGGCAAATGACAACACAGGGTTGTACATTCAGGATTTTTAGGTGAGGTGTGGGAGTTTGGAAGTAGGTACCACTGACTTTACCTGGAAGATTCAGGAAGTACTTCATGAAAAGGGAACAATAGTGTGGGTAGGGAAGCATGATTAGGAGCTTAGCAGGTAGAATGGAATAGGAAGGGAATTTCAGCAAGTGAAGCAAGGAAACAATGTGCCTCGGTGTGTTCATGGGATGGCAGAAGTGTTGATTGGGGGAAGCACAAAGCACGAACTCTGGATCTCCCTTTCTTAGGGAGGCTGTGGAGGAAAACAGTGGGAGATGGAGTTGGAAAGGTGGGTTAGTGCCACAGTAGGAAGAATTTGCTCTGTACCTAGAATGCTACACTCAGGATTTTGAACTTCATCCTCTTGGCAGTGGACATTAATTAAAGGTTTTGAACAGATATGGGACATGTTTGGATTTGTTTTTAGAAAGATGACTAGTTTTTGAGTAGAGGCTCAGCAGCATCACTTACTAAGTGCCGAGTGCTTTATGTGTGTTGTACAGTTCTCACCACAAGCTTATGATATACGCAAAGTTGCATCCCTGCCATTTTACAGATGAGGAACCTGGGGGTATAAACAGGCTAAGTAACTAGTAAGGGAGTAAGTGATGGAGCTGGCATTTGAAGCCAGGCAGTCTGGCTCCAGATTCTGCACTTTAAACCACGATGCTATATTCCCTCTTGGTGGGTGGGTGGGTGGGGGTATTGTTCTGACTAGAGTGAAGACAATCCTCAAGATGAGTTGGTGTAAGATTGGTGGGAAGGGTGGGATCAGGTTACTGAAGGTCTTGAGACCATAGAAAGGGAGCTGATTTTAGAACCTGTTTTCGTAACCAAAATGCTAGCGGTAGAAAGGAGATAATTTGAAGGCAGGGACGGTGGATGGGAAAGTATTTGGGTGTTCTACGGGGATGTTGAGGACGGTGTGATTTCTGTCTTAGAGGGTATCATAGAGAAGAGGGGCTATATCTGGGATTTCTCATCACATTATTCAATTTCCTGGGGACCACTAGTGGCACATCAGTTTCCACAACAAAACTAATATTCTTGTTTTTAAGATGACTACAATATGGTCATCTTATCCTCAGCTAATAGGTAGCATTTATTGAATATATATACCATGTGCCAGGCATAGTGCGTAGTATTTTATGCACATTTTCTTCCTTATTTCTTACAACCCTATAAGACCAGGACTGTTACTACACCAACTTCCCAGAAGACAAAACTGAGAGTAAGGATATTAAATAATGATTTAAAGTCATACAGCTAGTGAATGGCACCTTGTCTAATAGCAATTCCTCACACTTATTGATAAAAATCAGAATTTTTCTGGGATTAAATTTTGTATAACTAAATTGTGTTCATTCATTTTTTTAAATTAGTTAATTCATTCAGCAGAAGACCCAGCACTGTGAGTCAGATACGGAAGTTAACAGGTAAGATAAGGTCCTTGTTGTTAAGGTGTTCATTCTAGCAGGGGAAGACAGACAATAAAAAAATGGAAGAATGGGGGCACCTGGGTGGCTTAGTCGGTTAAGTGTCTGCCTTTGGCTCGGGTCATGATCTCAGGGTCCTGGGATCGAGCCCCGCATTGGGCTCCCGGCTCAGCGAGGAGTCTGCTTCTCTCTCTACTCCTCCCCACTGCTTGTGATCTCTCTCTCAAATAAATAAATAAAATATTTTTTAAAAAATGAAGTAGTGACCATGACAAGTGACAAGTGCCAGAAGAAAATGAAATGGTGAAGTAACAGAGTGGTTGGAGGTGATGCGGTACACTCTGCTGGTCAGGGCGGTCAGCGACAGCCCTTGCCAGGTGGCTGGAGTGCGTGCAGCAGAAGACCAGTGTGAAAGTAGATGAGGTTCACGGAGGTAGGCAGGTGCTGGGCCGTGTAGGATTTTGTAGGTTCAGCAGAGTTTAGGTTTTATTCTAAAGGCACTGGATGCTTTGCAGCAGGGGGTGAAAACATGTGTTATGTTCTGGGGAAAGGGAGGTCCTGCAGGTCCAAAGTGGAAACAGAACAATCTGTGGTCCAGGTGAGAGGATGAGCCGTGTTGCCAGCGGTGGATGAACTGGTAAGAGGTGGAAGAGTTGGGGAGACATTTTTGAAAGTAGAGATGGTAGGTTGTGCTGATCAAGATGTGTGGAGAGACAGACCAAGGACCATGTTTAGGTCTCAGATTTACTCATAGGCAAGAGGGGAGCTGAGCCACAGAGCTGCCATCTGGGTTGGTGGGAAGGGGTGGATGATGAGGTCAGTGTGGGACCTGCAGGGTGAGCAGCCTGAAGCCCATGAGAGGGAGCAGGGCTGAAGACACGGGAGGCTCCAACACCCAGACGCAGAATGTGCTTACTGCCAAGTTCTTGGCCTGGGATGAAAGGTCACTTTTATGTGTGTTAGTCACAGTTTGTTGTGAGCCTGTGAGCCTTACCAACATCCTGGATTTCTGGGGTGCTGTCGGGAAAACCCTCCCATGATGGCACCTCCCGAGTCAGCAGGAATGTCAGTGTGGTGAGATTTCACACTTCGAGGCAATTCAATTTTCTTTAAGCCTGATGGAGCACTTCATCCCTTCACAAAAGCAGGCTATAGGAGCCTTTTCAGTTTGTCATCCTAATAAAAATGCCTGTAAGTAAAAACATTCGGTCTTTGTTTTCTGAGTTGCATGATCTTTTCAATTTCTGGGGAACTCCTTTATAATATCAGTTGGAAGAAAGAAATAGCTGGCATCAGGACTGCTATGGACATCAGTCCTTTCATTGCATAATGTCCACTTTATTCTTTGCTGAGCAGGCAGGCAAAGGATTCTGGGTTTGGGTTAAGTGGTGGACTTTGGGGGCCTTTTCCAGATATCTTCTAGTGTGTGGTTATAGCCAAGACAGATATAATGCTTGCCAGCTTATTAGCCGTGTTGTTTGGGTTTCTTTTAAATGGAAGTAATGTTTTGTGACTTGAAGACCGCTGATACTGACTTAAAGGGAGTGAGTGAAGCCTTCCACTTTGTCTCACGTGGACATGTATGATCCCGATGCAACATGCCAGAGCCGGTCTCACGGTACTACAGCACACGCACGCTTCACCCAGCTTCTGCTGGCTGGCAGTGCTGCCTATTTTTATTGGGGGTTAATTCTCATGTGTTATTGTGGGCTGTAGAATGTGCAGATAGTAACAGGAAATTATACACAGTTAAGGTATAAATATATGTGTTAAGTAAA